ATATATATATATATATATATACTTCTATACCTTCTTTTTTTTATTTGTTAACTGGTAAATATTGTGCAAGAACAATATTACATCCCAAATAAATCTGTATCGCTAAAAAACGAATTCAATAGATTAGCTTTCTCGACATATGCATCAATAAAATTATTTTCGCAACTTAGTGCTAAAATCTATATAAATGGCATGCAAATTTAATTATATTCAAGCAAATGCAATAAAAAAAGCAGTATAATTGTCAATTTAATATAATATAAGTGATCTTTTTTCTCCATTTTGTAAAAGTGAGGGTTTTTAGAAATCCTACTGAAATTGGATTTTTAATTCAATAATGTATGGCAAAGAGTTTTTTGATATTTGTGTTTTTGAAGGAAGAAAAATTCCGTGCATATGTTTAAACATTCTTTTTTCATCTTTTCTGTTTTAGACTGAATTTTCCGCCCGATAAATTGCATGCCAAAAATTTGTTGTGAAATTATGCCTTTTAAAAAATAGGTAGAACAAATTTTTTAACATAAGTTTTTACAAATTTCGCATTTATCCTTTAGTTTCTTTTGACATCCATTTATTTTAATTTTCAATTCAAATGATGCTGAGGAATTTAAAATCGCTCTCAAAAGAATGAGAGAAAATAGAAGGTCTCAGAATCAACTAGAAAATAGAAGATCAACTCAGAATTACTTTTAATATTTTTATAGAAAGCGAAAGTGATGAAAAAGAACGTTTATTTGCAATTTTACCACTTATTATACAATCAAAAGGGCAGTTAACAGCAGCTATCGCATGTGACAAATGTCATAGTCATTTGGTGATGGAGAAGGATTAGAGTGTATGATGATATTGCAACAATCTCTGATTTAAATGATTGAGAGTTATCGATTGAATATGCAAGTGTGACTTGAATGATTTTTCATATCATACTTGATAAGAATTAAGTTTTGTTCCTTGTAATGTATAATGACGCAATAAAAACTTAAAGTTTTTTTTTTTTTTGTTTCCGGCTAAATTGTTTTTTAAATATCAAATCTGATGAGGATTTTTTGGTTGTTATTTTTCAATAACTTCCATTTAAATCCTAAACAAAAACGACACCAAATTATTTTCTCTGACAATTTCGTTTATTTTCTTTAATGAGAATGTGAACAAATAATAAGATTGAGTTGTTCTCTCCCCGAAAGTCGAAGTTGAACAGTGACACTTTATTTTCCTAAATTTTTATTGGTCAACCATGCCTATCTATTTTTTTGTCTCAGCATTTTTAAGGACATGTGAAAATTCTAAACCTCTAATGAAATTTCATTTTCATTCAATCCCCGAGCATCGGAGTAGTTGTTTGAGCTACTTATTTGCAATTTCATTTTTCAACATCAAAATTGGCTTTCTTTATTTTTCTGATAAAACAAGTCTTGATACAATATAATTGTTTAAATATTATCCCTTACTAAAAGTCAAAGTCGGATGGAATTGTAGTCATATTCATATAAATTTAGTTATTAATGAGTTTAAGGACTTGTTTATCAGAATATCATCAATTTTGTGGGGATTGCATCCAGTAGATTTTGTAGCAAGCATACAAATGAGAAATCAATTTGGCAATTAAATGTTAAATTCATATTTTTTCATCATTTACTATTGCAACAAATATTTTTCCGTTTTGTTTAATTAATTTCATTTTCTATTTTAGAATTCAAATTTATGATATTATTGAAAATCTCCACCAATTGAAGCTTCTTTTCGAGTAATATCAAAATTCAAAACGGTGAGAAAAATCGTTCACTATTAAGATGATAACTCGTTATTACTGTATTATTCTATTGCTTCTAACATCATCTCTAAATTGCTATAAAAGGAATACAACAAATGTAATCAACATAAAAGACGAGAATTATATTATTACAAAATATATCGCAGTTGTATTGCTTTGTCTTTTTTTGCTATGCGGTATTATTGCTAATGTATTAATGGCTACCGTATTGTGTAGTCGGGACAATCTTTGCGATCGTTCATTTATCATTATTACATCACAAATTGTCATTAGTAATCTAATTGGCATTACGCCATATGTGATTGTTCTATTGCCTGAAATATTACTGACCGAAAAATATGGTAGGTTATTTAATTTACATAAATTATATGACGATAAAATTGTAAAGAACAAAAAGGTCGGCTTGTTATTGAACGAATTAGAAGTGGTGGATCTAATTTTTAATATCATTTTAAAATTCAATAGTAACACATTGTTACAAATAGATTTAGCAAATCTAGTTGCAAATGAAATCATTAATACTAGCTCATAATAATTTACCATTTAAGTATAATGTTACGTAATGAATAATTAATTTTATTAATTTTTAATAATTAACTTTCAACTTTTAATTTAAGTAACATTACGCAATTAATTTTCAATTTAAGTGCAACGTTACATTATGAGTAATTCATTTTTGATTATTTTTATTTAAATATTTTTAAATATATTTCAAATCTTAGCCTGTGAAACAGCATGGATGAACCAAACATTCGCCACAATCAGTGTATTATCATATTACGCTATACTACATTTTTCATTTTTTTGGACGCTAAATGGCTTTGTGGTCGTAGTTTTACCGAAATACAATATATTTTGCGAATCACCAAAGCTATATTTTTCACTCCTTTTCGTATGGTTGACAATCTTTGGTACGACATATTCTGATAAAAAAACTTTTGTACAAAATAATTGTTTGATTAAATAGCTTGTGAAGACTAACGACTGCTCAATCATGTTATATGATAGTCTTGATAACTATTATCTTTAATATTACCTTGAAAATTTTAAAATTATATAATCAACTCCAGACTTTATGACCTCTTTATATTCACAGCACTTTCATCGGTGGATTTTTATTATTGCAAAAGAAATCTTCAAGTTTCGACACTAGTATGGACGAAGGACTGCACAAAACAGTCAAGAAATGGTGGGAAATTATTTTTAAGGTAAATTAATATATCGTTTTAAATTTTTTAATATTGAACTTTCAAATTCAGTTTTAAATTTTTTCAAGCATTAAAACTTTCAAATGATATAATTAAGACATCTAACTCTCTGTCTTTTTCGATGTAAATTTAATAAGAAATTGAAAAATTAGCATTGTTATTTCTATTCCATAATGGTGCATATAAAATTAATACAGGTTCATTGATTACTTCTTATCAGTTTTTTCTATGTTTGGTCGCTATTTCTATCCGTTTTAATGGTCGTTATGTATTTGGCAATTATTTACAGTATACGCCATCGTTTCACATTAGTTGCCAATGAATCACAATGTTGGTACCCCAATAAATTCTTTTCTTTTTTTCTCAAATAATTAAAATGACATCTTAAATTATTGCATTTTCTATATTGATTGTATTAGAAACAATTTTTGAGTATTTTAAATTTGTTCAAAAGTTTTACAAAATTTGCAGAATTTTTCCAAATCTCATTGAATCATATTTTATATCAATTAAATACAAAAATGAAACTTTAGTGATGAATGCTGGAAATGGAAGGAATACTCAAAGAACTGTCAAATATGAGCGATCGGTGCTACTTCAAGCAGCATCAACTTCTGGCATAATAATAATGGGAATTGTATTATTCAATTTTCTACCAAATCTTTTGATAAAAACTTTCGGTCAAGAAGCTTTAATTCCAGTTAATATTCTTATCACCTCATATTTTATCTTATCTCGTACTACACTGCCTATTGCTCTTTTCATAACAAACAGACGTGTGCGTAAATATTTGTACTTACGTTTGAAGATTAATTTAATAAGAATTATGCCATTTTTAAAAATGAAAATAACCCGATAAGGATATGCTAAATAAGGAATATTTGAAATGTTTCATCTGTTTTTCTTTTCAGATAGCTTCTTCTCTAACTTGAAAAGATCAATATTTATAGAATTAGGAATTATTTATGGATCATATTTTTTCCTAGATACAGTCAATAATTAAGTAATGTATAAAATGCAAGAGCCCTAATTTATCATGATTAAAATATGATAATATTTTTGCAAATTAGAAATGATTTAAAAATAAATCATCCTACATTCAATGCTTCTCGAGATATAGTTTATCTCTTTTTTTTTCCCCCTATGCTCTTGCAGGATTGATTTTTATCACAAATTTATGCGATACAATTAAGTTAACTTCGAAGTATTGTCCATTATAGGGATGTCATATAAACCCTAAATGTTATGATATAATTGGTAATACTTAGAGTTACATGAATTCCTAACTTCTAATCATTTTAACACTTGTAGAATAATATTATCAATTAAATTCTATCCACTACAGGTATGTGCTTCATTTTAAAAAAAGCCATATTATTTGTTTTTTCAAAATTCTCTAAGAAATTATGCGATCGATTTAATGCAAATATTCACAAATATGCTGCTAAATAATTCTTTGAGTTATAAATGAATTGAATGTAGCGATGAAATGAGAAATATGAATCAGTCATTCTGCTTCCACCGGTCAGTTATTTAAATTTTACAAAAAATATTCCTCATCTGTTATGACATCATGACAACCTCTATTATTATGAATATCACGACATTTTACAGTTATGATTACTTTATTCTTTTTTTTTTTTTTTTGCATGATTTCAAGAGTTAAATGTCATAGCATTAAATCTTGAATAAATGCTTATGTAATACCACTGATATATGCAAATGAAGTTGTCTTACTAAGGAAACTGTTTTTTACTTTCCTATTAAGGATGAATTGAAGTTTTTAGTTCGTAGAGAATAATGGAAATGAAATATTTCATATTTGAAATTCCTATATGTCTTTGTGGAACCATCAATGCTAAATGCAGTTAAAATAACTTTTCTGGCTTAATCTATGGCTAAACAATAGTTTTTGACATCCATTCTATTTGGGCTTAGGCTTAGGATTTTATCGATTGAATGAGGTTAAAATCATGAAAAGATCAGCATAGAAAATAAGCAACAAAAAAGAAAAAAGGAAGTCAAATTAAGTCAAATTCAAATTAAAAATAGTCAATTAAAAAGTTAAAAAAGTAGTCAGAATTTCAAAAAAAAAAATCAAATTAGGAAAATAATCGAATTTAAAAAAAATTAGTCAAATTAAAATCAAAAAGTAATTAATTAAGCCAAATTTAAAGGCATAGAAGAAGGATTGTCATTTAATCTGATGGAGAAAATAAATGAAACGATTGGCAGTGATTTAACGATTGTATAATGGAAGGCTGACAGAACAGTATGAGTTGACATATCAACAATTTGCTGCTTAATTGATATCACTCATCTAATGATACAGAACAGATCATGAAGTGAGAAGAAAAAGTATCGAAAAATAGTATCAAAATATATTCGTTGAATTTTATGGTTAATATGATTTATTAATTTACAATCTTTTTTTGAAAAAATAAATTAAGCTTTATAAATTGAAAGAAAAATATGCTAATTTAAGCTGTAAAAAAATAATTTTTCACTCAAAATATTTCTATTTTGCAAATTTGTTGATTCAATTCTAAGCACATTTAGGAAATTTATATCTATCAAAGGAAATGTTCCCATTTAAATTCATTTTAAAACAAACATTTATTCGTTTAGTAAATTGTAATAAGCAAACAAATTTTGATTACAGTAATCTTGCATAAATTTTTTTATAAATCCTAAAAGAATATGCATTGATCAGCATCTAATATTTCAATAAAATTTGTAGTTTTTTCTTTCTTTTTTTTTTGTTTTCTTTTGAACTTATTTACAAATATTTTACCAAGCATATGAAGGAAAACTAGCAAATGAAATAAAAACATTGATAAGTGAAGATTAGAAAAAGGAAAACGAATAAATTATTAAATTTAATACTATTACAGCTATTACTAGTGATTCATTAGACTTCTTCTAACTAGCTCAGAAATAAAGTTTTTAAAATTTCTAAAAATTTAATTTTCATGCAATAATTTAATAGAGAAAAAAGAATAATTTATTACAAATGCACCATCCTGCAACAAATCAACCGAAGTGATTTCGGTTGGTCATATACCAATTTTAACTATTCTTATTCGATTGGTCATATTCCAATTTTAACTGTTTGTCTTATTCGATTGGTCATATTCCAATTTTAACTGTTCGTCTTATTCGATTGGTCATATTCCAATTTTAACTGTTCGTCTTATTCGATTGGTCATATTCCAATTTTAACTGTTCATTTTTTCTTGCGTTTTTTTTTAAAATTACTTTCTTCATATAATGATCGTATCATTGATATTTTATGCGTATAATTTATTTCTTAGTAGTAATTCCGTTGATAATTAAAGGTGCATTGCTTGTTACCTTTAATTATCAACGGAATTACTACTAAAAAATAAAAATAAAAATAAAAAATAAATTAATATAATATTACTGCTTGAGATAATGAAAATAAATTAATATAATAAAATAAATTAATATAATATTACTACTTAAAATAATAGCTGCTTCTTGCAAATTACCTCTTATTGCGACATTCCTTTTCCAACAAAAAATTATTGATGAAGTTGACGAAAAAATTGTCAACTCTATTAGCATTTTGTTAACGAATTTTTCGAAACTAATTAATGGCATATATAAGTAATGCAAATCATGCTTCATGCAATTCATTTCAATGACACTCTTGCAATAAGTAATTGTATTAAATTAACATGCTTTATTCGGATTTATTCTACTAAATTAGCACATAAAAACTGAATTTTTCGAAACTTTGAAAATTCTGCTAATGAGCTAATCACAAAAGCTTTAATAAATAAATAAAAAAATTGTTGTGGGAAGGAATGCATTTAATATTTAAATATTCTATTTTTCTCCGGTCCTTCATCACGATTACCTAATGTCTAATATGAAATTGTCCAAATAAACGGACGGACATACACAGAATGGATTTGATTCTTTCTGCAGAAGAATTTATGATGGATTCTTTTATGAGACATTTTTTCCCTCACAACAATAACCTACTACTTTAAATTTTTCCTGTATGATAAAATAATATGAAAAAAAAAATGCATATTTTTAGATGGTAACACATTTCCAATTTTTTTTTTTGCAATGGAAATTTTGATTTCGATGATAAATTCTAATTAAGCGAATCATTTTCCCCATTAGAATATTCCATCAAAATGGATATAAGTAAAAAGATATGAGCTATGACATCAGCTAATTTAGCTCGTTATTTCAGTAAATTAAAGCAAAACTTTATGATAGTATTTTGGCACTAATTTGGATGACGTAATTAATATTTCTTCATACACTTTTTAACAAAGACATTAATCATTGATCACATTTGTGGTTATAATTTTAACAAATATATAATGGTTGAAATATTTGTTCAACCATATATATTATATTCCTCAAATAAAATTTTTGAGTATTTCATTAGGAAAAACCTAAACATGTAAAACTTTATCAAAAAGAATAATAATGCAGTGATTAAATTTCTTGAAATTATCGAAATTATCAGGAGATTATCAAATTATCAAATTATCAAGAACTTGAATTCGAGAATTATTTTAGAATTCTTTATATGAAAATGTAAAAAAAGTTTAAGAAAGTTTTAATTGACAAGTGACTGCTGATGATAATTTTAACAAACATTATTGGGAAAGATCATTAGCATAATATCATACTTGAAATGGGTAATTAAACATGTCACATTTCAATATACAAGTTGTTATTCAGATATTCTGCAAAAATTTCAGCTTCGTATATCTGACCTTAGGGATTTCTTTTCTGATACATTGTCGCTGCAAATTAAACAAAAGTATGGATTTCTGTTAAAAATCAGTCAAAAAAAAAAACGAAGTAATAATAAAATACTGAAGATCTGTATCCATTAAAATCTAATTTTCGCCATCGTTTTATTATTTAAAACTTTTTCAGACATACAATCATAACTTTATTTGATTGACATAACTAATTTAAAACATTTTAAAACTCATTCATTGTCTATTATTGATAAAAATAGTCTGATACTTGCAATTTTCTAAGCGATAAGAAATTAGAAAGAAATTGATGAAAATCTTAATCTTAACACGGTTTAAGTGATAATATGATAATATGTTGATATCTAATCACGAAGAATTTCTGTTTGTTAAAAATGACTTTTGATAAAACCTGTTATCGATTACATATGGTCTTATACTCTGCAATTATTTTAATGAATAGAAAAAGTAAAATTTATAAAAATATGCAGTTTTAATGTAACTTTAGCGATGGTGCGATAATTTATTCATTTTTTCTATTAGAAAATTGTTCGTATATTGGAAATAACTTATGACATTGTGTATCGTATATGATTGTGACAACTATTATATCGTGTTCCAAGTTTTGCAGTAATTCAGAAAATGTCATCGAAGTGATCAAACACCATCATACGATTGAATTATTAAGGTTGGATACATCATTCCATCAGTTTCGATTGGGAAATTCAAAGAGGCATGTCATTGAAACATTTGAAATGGAATTTTCGAATTGTTGGCAATATGTTAAAAGCAATTAAATAAATTCCTTATTTTTTGTTCATTTTCTAAATACGTTTTCCACCAATTTTTATTAAATTAGGTGCTTATTTATAATCATTACAATCTGCAATATTTACCTCAGTGATTCTACTTTATGTGCCTTAATTTAAGTAAATAAAACTTCCAAAATTAAAGTCCATTGACAGATTTTAATCTTAGCATGAAGTACAGTTGCTTTATTTTTCTTTTTCTTCTTGTGATAGAAACAAGAATGTTGCAATGGACAATAGGTTTTATACACCTTGATTATGTATGCAATGATAAAATTTGACAGTGGTTCGGTTCGGCATCGTCTCAATTGAAGGGGGTAAATTACGTGACTGTCATCTCAGATAGTATGGTTACAGCACCTTTCGAGT